CATGTGTCTAGTATTGGACAATATAACTATAGACAATTGTGAGGTTATTCAGCAGCCAAATAATTGCTCAAAAGTGGTATGTTTGGAAGATCTGTTGTCAGTAAAACAGTGAATCGAAGGATATGATGGTTGAGAGAGAGAAATTAGATCTGGAATGGGTTATACATGGATACTTGAATGGTATTGTGTGGTGTTAAGAAGGCAGAGCAAATCTGAAAGATGTTTCGAAGGGATCCTTAAAGCACACTGATGACTGAATGGCAATGGGAGAAGGAAAAAAAAATTCAAGAGTAGTAGCCAGCCTCCCAACAGCCCTCAATGATCCTTACCCTCTGCTACGCACACCCCTGCTCAGTCCCCTTCCACACTGTACTGTGTGACCAACAGAATAAGGCAGTAGTGATGGTTTGTCGCTTCCCAGGTTAGGTTATAAAAAATACTATGGCTTCTGTCTCAGTGGTCCTGTCTCTCGGATCACTTGGTCTAGAGGACGCCGGCTGCTACATTGTGAGCAGCCCTATGCAGAGGGCCCTGTGGCAGGAAACCGAAGCCTGACAGCAGGCCCGTGAGTGAGTTTGGAAGTGGGTCCCCCTCCCCTAGTTGAGCATTCCGATGACTTCGGTCCCAGCCAACGCCGTGATTGCAACCTCAGGAAGGACAAAACTACACAACTAAGCATCTCCCTGATTCTAGAGCCTCAGAATCAGTGAGAGATAATAAATGCTTGTTGTTTTCAGGTGCTAAATCTTGGGGTAATTTGCAACAGCAATCAATAATGACTACATCGATCAATAATAAAATGATAACCCAATTTAAATATGGACAAAAGAAGTGAACAGCCACTTCACAAAAGAAGATAATAGCACATGAAAAAGTACTTCATATCATTAAACATCAAGGAAAGTCAAATTAAAATACACACCAACAGGCTAAAATTAAAAAGACCGACAACATAAACTGTTGATGAGGATGTGGAGCAACCAGATTTCTTTTTTAAAAAATTGAGATACCACGCACTTCATCCATTTAAAATATACAATTAGTGCTTTTAGGATAATGCAGCCATCACCATAATACATTTTAGAATATATTTATTACTCCAAAATAAACCCTATACCCTTTAGCTGTCACCCTCTCTCTCTGTACACCTGCTTATTCTAGACACTCATATTAGTGGAATAATATAATTATGGTCTTTTGTGACTGGTTTCTTTCACATAGCGTAGCGCTTTTAGGGTTCATTCATTTCTAGCATGAATCAGTATTTCATTTCTTTTTATTGACAAATAGTATTTCATTGTATGAAATATCACTTAAAAATTCCATCATTTGCTAGACATTTAGGTATTTCTGCTTTTAGGCTACTATTAATAATACCACTATAAACATTTGTGTGGATTATGTTTTCATTTTCTCCTGGATATATATTCAGGAGATGAATTACTAGATTGTTTTGTAACTTGATCTTTAACCATGTGATGGATTGCCATACTTTTTTTTCTGAAATGGCCACACCATTTCATACTCCCACCAGCAATGTACGAGGAATCCGATTTCTCCACACCTTCACCAACACTTAATATCTGCCTTCTTGATTGCAGCCATCCTATTAGGTGTGTTTGCATTATGGTTTTGAATTGCACTTCCCTGATGGCTAGTCATATTGAGTATCATCTCATAAGGTTATCGATCATTTGTGTACCTGCTTTGGAGAACTCTCTGTTCAGATCTGTTGTCCATTTTTTATTCTTTTTTAAAAAATTCTTGGGGACTATGAAGTCCTCCCAAGCACAGTTTGTTTTTGCAGATTATTTCCCAAACGTGTACAAAATGAAACCAAAATGGAGACTCTCTTAAGAATCTGAAAAGGTGCAACATTAAAAGCTACAGTTATCCAATGGTAAGTATTGCAGGCTTCAATTCCAGCCACTTTCTCTTTCTGTTCGCTAGAGTTAGCAGGATGAAAATGTCTTCCCCATGATTGTTTTCACTTCTTGTTTTCCCTCAGCATCTAGGCCTCCAGGATTCAGCACCTCGAGGAACTGCGACATTTTTGCCCACATACGTGTGTGAATTTGGCTTTAGACCACTTGATGTGGTAGTGCAGGTAGTTTCAGAATGTATGGATCAGGTTGATGGTGTTGTCTCAAGCACTGATACTGGTGTGGCAAGGGAGCCGCATGAAGGCTGTCATCCACAGCAGCACGCGTGTCTTAGACTCCAGAGGAGGTTGCTGTGGCTAAAGAGGCCCTAGGGGGTTTTGTGGCTGGCTCTGCGTCCTTCTTTGACTCCTGTTTCGAATGACCACATCACCATCATCCTTAAACACCGTGATGAAGACTACTGTGACTCTGTCCTTTTTAGACTCAACATACATGGTCTCATTATCCCTGTAATGGATAACTGCCCCGTCCTCACCTTCCTTGCCCTCTTCTCAGAACTGGAAATATTTTTCAAAGACAGAGGCAACACAGTTTTGTTTCACCATCCCAGCCTGATACACAACGGAATCCTTCGATGCAGGCAGATTTTTAAGGTAGTGTGGCAAAGAGACATTGTATCCTGATTCTGGATTTACCAAGATAGTCCTGTTCGCCCTCTTTAATAACTCTAATAACGCATCAGCACTATTTGCCTGAAGGCCCTGCCCATCACTTTTGTTTTGCCTCTTTTAGGATTTCAAATATTATAGAGGACCCCATCAAAATCTGCAAATGTTATTTCTACAACTTCTGGCTTGTTTCCAGTGGTCACGTTCTTGAGCTTGAGCATGATCATCTCCGTGCTCGACGACATGGTTGTTTACTTCCAGCAACGCAGCTGCTGAGCTTGCCACCACTGCTGCCTCACTGACACCGGTTCTCCATTAATTGGGCAATTTGTTTTATGATTGAATTGTAATAGTTCTTTACATAGTTTAGATACAAACTCTTTATCAAATATCTCATATGCAAAAATATTGTCCATTCTGTGGGTTGTCTGTAACTAGAAATCTTGTGATTCAAAGTGACACAAACACTTTTGAAACAGTTCTTGGGTTACATCGTTTGCCCAGGGTTGCATCATAAGCACCGAGGCCTTGTGTAGCACAGGTTGCACACCCTCAAAATTAGCAGGACAGGGGAGAATTAAATCTTGGGCCAACCTCTTGCCAACAAAACATGCTGATCAGATGACTAGTTAGTTCATTTACTTTGTGCACTGAATGAGACATGCTGTCAAGGTCAGACGGTGATGTCAAATGGTGATGTCCCATAACTGTTTAAAAACTGAATTGCAAATAAAAACATCTACTTGTTTTCCAAAGCCCAGTTAGTGATACTTTCTCCAAAGTTCTAAACTAGAATATCCACAATATTCTGTGAAATTCTTCTTCCTAAAATAATCTTCATAGTAGTTTTCAATTTCCCCATCCTTGAAATGAGTCACAGGGTTAAGGACTTACTAAGCTTGCTAAAAAGTCCCTTGAAAATAGGATTGTGATCTATCTCAGAACTCATTTGATAGCAGATATATATATCATATCTTGGCACCTCAAGTCAAAACCTTGAATTTAACATTCCATCACAGTAATTATCTGAGAGAGAATAATTTATCATTACGCAAGCCTCTTTTTTCCACCAGACCATAGGCTAGGACTGTCTCAATCATCCCATTCAGGTTCTCACTCTATCATTCCTCTACCTGACCCAGAGGGGCTTTTCTAGTCACTTGCCATTCTACCCCTTTTCAGTAGCAGATAAAGATAGTATCTTATTGTGGAATATAAAGTTCAAAAAGACAGGGCCATTTCCTTTTTGTTCCTTCTGGTATTTCTAGCCCCTCACAGTTTCTAACGTAAGTTATAAAAAGCAAGCAAAACTAATTTGCCAATCAGGAATTCCTTCTGTGATGCCTGTTGTCTGTCCTCTGTTCAGTATGCATCTGGGAATTATACATATAATTTGACCTCGGTTAGCCCTGGCTGGTGTGGCTAAGTGGATTGAGTGCTGGCCTGTGAACCAACGGGCTGCCGGTTTGATTCCCAGTCAGGGCACATGCCTGGGATGCAGGCCAGGTGGGTTGTGGACCATGTACCCAGTTAGGGGTGCTGGAGGCAACCACACATGAATGCTTCTTTCCCTCTCTTTCTCCCTCCCTTCCCCTCTCTCTAAAAATAAAGTCTTTAAAAAAATAATTTGACCTAGGTTAGAAAAGCAATCTTTGATTTAAGACTTGACAGTGACAGTATCTTCTTGAATGTCAAGGAGCTAAGACTAACTCCTTGAACTTCCTTTTTAAATTTTTTTTTCCAAATTCTCCACTGAATGTTTCTTTCTGATGAATGAGTCATTGTTTTAGTGGTGATGAAATGTTTGCTGTTGGACCTCTGGATGCAGAGGAATCGTTTTCTGAATCAGTTTAACAGTGAATCCTAGTGGATGGGTTAAATCTTGTTTTCATTTAAAACTAAGGTACTTTCTGAATAATTATACTTTCACGGCTAGAGTAACTTTTAACTTAGTTGGTGAAAGGATATACTATATCAGCTTTTAATGAGACAACGCTGGTCTGTTATTGAGGAAGAGGGGTGGATCAAACTGGAAATATCCCAATCCTAATGTCAAAGTTCTGCTACATTGGATTGGGAATAAACTACATCGATGTCTTCCTGTTACCATTTCACCTTTTTGAAACCTCAAAGAAAAAGAATATTAAATTTACGTTTTTAATTTAAAGAGATTAAAATTCTGTAAGATTTCGTTATGTCAATTTCAGCTAGTCAAACTAAACATGCTAAATCAAAGCTACTTGGGTTCTTCCAGGCAGAGTTTCTGGAACAGAATCTCTTCCCAATCACCCAGGGTTCGCTCCCTGCCCCCGCGCCCTCGCCCCGCCCCCGCCCCCGCCCCCGCCCCCGCCCCGCCCCCGCCCCGCCCCGCCCTCCGCCTTCGTCCGGGCCCCGCTGCCATCCCAGGCTCCGCCCCGTCCATCCCATTCGCCCCTCCTTCTCCCGCCCTCAACCCTTTTTGTCAAGCAATTTCTCTCGCTCCGTCCGTCGTCGCCGCGTAGCGTAAAACCCCGCCTTGGGCCTCTCTGGGTCTCTCTAGGCCTCCGGAGGACTTGCCATCTGTTTCCGGCGGCGCTCGGCGGCAGCGGGCGGGTCTGTCTTGAGGCTCCATCGGAGTGCACAGTCGCGGCTTTTTGGTTCCCGCGTGTTCGGTGATTAGGCAGCAGGAGATGTCGGGCCTCGTTGCGAGGTGAGTGAACGAGTGAGAGGCCTAGAGCAGGCGCGACGGCTGCGCTCGCCGAGATGAAAAAATAACGGGACTGAGGACGGCCTAGCCTCGAAGTTTCGAGTCGCCCTTGGGTACACGACCTGCAGACCCGAGTCTCGTCCCGGTCGCAGCGCCCCCTGCCCGTCCTCGTCGCCCCTCCTTCTGAGACCTTTGAACCATCTCCTTCTATTTCTGCCACTCCGGATCTTTACTCTTGACCCCGCAGGATTTTCTTTCCTTTCTGACTTCAGTTTCTTCCCTTTTCTGACAGTTGAGTGTAGTTAGGGGGACACGGAGGGTTTCAACATGGAAGAATTTCGCGTCGTGTGTTGTGCAGCTAGCAAACGCTCGTGCATTGCTAGTGGTTGCACCTGTGCTCCTAGTGTGACTTTATGGTTCGACTCTGTCGGATGGTTCCAAACGTTAATACCGGTGTCTGGAAGTTCCAGGCCAGTGCGGCGGACACAGAACGTGGGTTAGTGGAGTATGTGTGCACATGTTGTGTGTAACTTTTGGGAGGGCTGCTCTATGCAGCTCGAGCTAGTGCGGACATTGGGAGCAGTCATTTTAGGACGTTAGGCTGCATCCTCAGTCTTGAAGCCTGCTGTCTGCACCCGTGCAATACGGATAGCCGCTGGGACCTCTTCAAGGGTGAGCCATCCCTCCTCAGCAACTGAAATTCTTGGGTTCTTCAGCCTTTGAGTTTGCCTGGGAAGGGAGATGGGAGTGTTTCTTTGACTTAAGAGGAATGACTATTGCTTTATAACATTGTATCCACAGACACCATTCTCAATAAATATTTAAAGAGAAATCGAAGAATTGCTTTCCTTAAAAAAACAAAACAACAACAACAACAAGCCTTGAAATTAGTGGTCCTTGTGCCTCTAAGCAGCTCACAGAGAGATTTGGTTGATACTAAGAAAATCAGTACATGCCATTGCTGCTGATTTTTTTTTTTGAATTTGTGGGCAAATGCCAAATTATTTGGGAAACAAATCGGGAAGTCACGTTTATTATCGAAGTTAACTGACTTGGGAAAAAACTTGTCATTACCAGAGTTGAGACTGGCTTTATTCCACCCCGCATTTCAAGGGGCAGACTGAGTAGGCAAGTCCTGGGGTAGGTTTGGGGCTTCGGCCCTGCAGTGGGTATTATCCTAGCAAAGCAGACAGCGGAGCCCAAGGTCATCCAGTCTACAACCACCTAACCTACAAATGTATTAAGAAATACAATGTCACAGGGAATGTTACAGACAGGACAAAAGGTCTCTGCTGTGGTTGACGTTGTTGGGCAGTCCCTCTTGAGCTCTGGCCTTCTTAGATTCCCCGGTGCCATCTTGATTTCCTCCAACCACTCTCCACTACTTACCTAGCCGTAGTGCCATTTCAGCCCTTGCACATGTTTTTGTTGTTCCCAAATGAAGCACCTCTCTCTAAAGATAACTCTCAAATTTGTATATTCTAAACTTGATCTGTCCTGAGATCTAGTGCTAGTCAGAACCATCTATATGACTCATTTTACACTTCAAATATTGGGTTGGCCACAAAGTCCGTTTAGTTTTTTCCATAAACTAAAAGACATTTTTCATTTTCACTAATAACGTTATTAATTTGATATTTTGATATGTTGGCTATCTTCTGCTATTGGTTTCTAGTGGGTAGAGAGGCCAGGGGTGCTGGCAAACATCTTCCAATGCATAAGATAACCCACAGCAAAGATCTGTTTGGCCAAAATGCCAGTAGTACCCTGAAGCTTCACAAACCACTTTGACATGTCTGATCAGTCACAGTACCTTCTCATACACTGCACAATTTTTTTTTGCGTTTCAGTTGTGTTTTTACCTGTCTTCAAAAAACAAAGCATAATATGCTGAAAATGTTGCTTATTTTCTCACATCTTCAAAGTTAAAATGGCTACTCAAAAATTCACCAATTTTAATAAGTTTCTTTTTAAATGCACACTGATATGATGGCTATCACAATGCTATCAAACAAAATTGTTTCAAATGAATTTAAAGACAGCTAAGTACTACTAGAGCCATGGTACAGAAAAAACTAAACGAACTTTGGCCAACCCACTATATATTTGCACAAAAATGCAATCTTTATTCAGCATCTGTACTTTCAACTTCTTGGCATTATCATTCTAGACTCCTGAGGTTGTCTGAGTTCTGCCACATACCTGATCCTTATCTCTTCCTGCTTTAGCATTTGAGCAATCCTCTCAGATTTATCACTAGTCAGTTTTTTTCCAGAAATTTGATTCATGGACTTACCTCTTCCCAGTTTGAATCTGCAGGTGAACTGCCTTGTTAATCTTGGCTTAAGTTTCCTTCAGTGACTGCCATTCCTTTGCTCAGAAGATTTTAGATAAGGTGCACTCCTACCTTTGGAATTAACTAAAAAATTCCCAATCTGGGTTTCAAGATTTGGCCCAATTTACTTCATGAATTCAGCAATACTTACTATTATGTTTTTATTTCTGGAAGGCACTGTTCTAGGTATAACTGCTCTTATACTATAGCCAACCTGGACTACTTGATGTTCTTATTGTTTCTTTTCTAAGGCCCTTGAAGTTTGAAAGGAGAGCAGATAATGAAACAAATATTTTTTAAAAAGTAATACTTAGTAACACTTTTCACCTCTGACAAGTGTCTTGAAGGAAAAGTACAATTATGAGAGAGCCAGGGTTAGATAGGAAGATGGGGTTAGGGTGCTTCTTCAAAGAAGTTCATCTTTAAGTTGTTAATAGTGCTCATTGCTTTCTCCATCTTCTGCTTAAGTACGTTGTTTTGGTTCTTGCTTCTTGAGCTACCTCTTTATTTTATGTCTGCGTAGTTGTTTCTGAAGGCTCAATATTTGATTCTGCCATGTTTTTTCTATGTTAGGAGTCACTCACATGCAGAGGCTAAGGAGGAAGCACTGCGTGTTGCTGGCTGGGTGGAAGCAGTGCTCTGTCTAAAGGAGGCAGCTTCTCAACCCCAGGCATTGTTGCCATTCTAAAATATAGACCTGGAGTTTCCATAACTACCAGTTTTTCTGGTAAGGCTGGAAAACTGCATTTTTAGGTGAAGTTTTTTTTTATTTTTAAATATATTGTAGTTTTAAAACATTGGTGACCAAAAACAAAACAAAACAAAACCAAACCCCACACATTTGTAGACCCAGGCCAGCTTCAGGCCACTAGTTTTGGACTGCAGTTCATTTCTCAGTTACTCCTCATAGAGAGCTTTATCAGTGGTGGTGAATGTGCCTGCCTAACCTGTCTTCAGTCCTAACTTTTTTTTCAAGCTCCATTCTCTTTTCCCACTTGATGTTGAATATTTTTATTTATATCACTACATCCTCAAGAAATTAAAAATGAAATTCATATTTCATTCTACAAACTAGCTAGTTCTCTTCCCAACCTTTTAAGTACCTATATTCTTTATTCTCCTGACTTGAAATATGGGAGTCATTTTTGGCATAATTCTTTTTTTTTTATTGAGTGTTTACTTTGTAATAACTTAATAAAATCATTTCTGTTTCCACAACTGCTGATCTTCGTCAGTTCATACTTGAATTATTTTGCCTTGTACTTGATTCTTTGCTCTAGTCACATTTCACATTCTGTTTAATACCTTGCTTACTTCTGCTATAATAAGCTTCATTTAGCTGCTTAAACAGTTTCATGAAAAGTTGTTTAATTCTGTGAGCCTGTGTGTGTTTTATTGGATAATTATAAAAATCCCCTATGATAAGGTTCTTATCCTTCCAAGACAGCTGTTTTTAATTTTAGCATGTATCAGAATTACCTGCAGGTTCACTAAATAGATTTCTGGGCCTCACCCCACAGTTTCTGATTCAGTAGGTCTGGGTGGGGCCAATAATTTGCATTTCTCTCAGGTTTTCAGGGGATGTTGATGATGCTAGTCAAAGAACCACACTTTTGAGAACTACTGCTCCAAGCAGCCACTTTGCGTATAACCTGAAGAAAATAAATCTGACCAAGTGAAACTAGCAGTAAATATCTAACAATACAGTAATGTTTTTTATCCTCACCTGAGGACATTTTTTTTTAATTGCTTTTAGAAAGTGAGGAAGGGAGAGAAACAGCAGCATGAGAGAGAAGCAACAACTGGTTGCCTCCCGTATGTGCCCGGACTGGGGATCATACATGCCAAGGCTGGGGAACGAACCTGCATCCCCGGCAGGAATGTGCCCGGACTGGGAACCAAACTCACGACCCTTCAGTTACAGGACGATGCTCCAACCATGAGCCACACAGGCCGGGGCTATAGTAATAATTGAAAAACTGTCATCTATACACAAACGTTACACAGCCAATGAAGTATTTATTTAAAAATACTTAAATAATATGAATGACATGGAAAAAAATAGTCATGATAGAAGTTACAAAAAGAAAGCAGGCTCCAAAACGTAAGTATAGTACACTTTTAAATTTGTTGTTTTAAAGTGTTTGTTAGGCTAGGAATACAGACGCACTTGGCGAAAGTGATCCGTAGGAACAAGTTAGAATGGTGGAGAGTGGGTAGGGGAGGCTGGGAAGGGGCATCCTCAAGGAAACACTGAGTGGTGGAAATTGTCTCTGTCTAGAAGATGGCTATAGAGCTGTATACATATGTAAGAGTTTACTGAGAATTGCACAGTCAAGAATTTCATAATAAATAAGAAAGGAAAAGGAACATAGGAAAGGGTAGTGACTGGAAGGGGCATGAGGAGGGCTCCGGGATGCTGGTACTAGCCTGAGTTTGATCCAGGGGCCAGTGAAGTGAGAATGTTCAGTTTGTGAAAACTCATCAAATTGTATCTTTATGCTTTGGGCCTTTTTAAAAAAGTTCCTCAGAAGACATCACTCATGCCATTGAGAAACTCAGAGCCCAGCGAGAGAGATGCATATGAAAATGCTGGAGTGAGACTACACTGGCATGCATGCCAAACAAGAAATGAAGCTTAAGGTGTACTGAGAGATGTCAAAGGTGAAATCAGTAGCAGCAGCTTGGTAAGCACTGTGTACATGTGTAGGTACATATACTATTAGCTGGAACTGAAAATGTGCCAGTTTATTAATCTTTCAAGGATACTTTCAGATTATTTGAGGGGCATTCAAAAAAAGGGGGCAGTATGACCATTGTTACCACTTATAACCACATCGTAGATGACAGAATTTATAAAATTATTTGTAATCTGCCCTGATTGGTGTGACTCAGTGGGTTGGGCATCATCCCACAAAATGAAAAGTTGATTTGATTCCTGGTCAGGGCATGTGCCTGGGTTGTGGGCCAGGTTCTCGATTTGGGGGTGTGTGAGAGGCAGCTGGTCAGTGTTTCTCTCGAACATTGATGTTTCTCTCCCTCTCTTTGTCCCTATTTCTCCTCTCTCTAAAAATAAATAAAATCTTTAAAAAATATTTGTAATCCCACCTTTTTTACAGAATTTATATTACTCTCTTTTTACATTTTAATCAGTACTACAAAAACAGAAGGGGGCAGGGAAGTCACTGTTTTGTTTAAATCAGTCATGCTTCACATTCTTGGATTAGCGTATTTTGAATGTGCCTTGCCTCAAGTGAGTGATTCCACAATATATGTGCACATTAGAATCCCCTGGAGACTCTTGCAAACGTGCCAAGGCCCAGGTGACATCCAAGATCAATCAAATCATAAACTCTGGAGGTGGGACACAGGCGTAGATATTTTGTTTGAAGCTTCTCCAAATGATTCCAAAGCACAGACAAGTTGTCATTAAAATCAGGCCTTTACTAAAATTAAACTGAAGTGACCAATTACACCTTATTTAGGGATGTTTTCTTTCTTTTTTTTAAATTAATACACTACTTATTTGTCTTCCCTTTGTCAAACCATGAGCCAACCACTTTCCCCAGGCTGCCTAGGGAGGGGAAAAGGAACATACAAGACACGATATGGGAGAAAGAACCATGGGAGGTGGAGACGGCTCCTTCACTTGGCGAAGAGGATGAGAAAGGCCACCATCAGGCCACGAGCCCCATGACCTCTGAGGTCAAAGCCCAGAATGGAGTAGGGGAAGAGCTGTTGCTTGAGAGAAGGATTCCTGGCAAAACCAGGGATGAGGCACCCAACACAGTTCCCACTCCAGCCCCAGAGCCTGCCACCCTTACTGTGGCAGCTCCAACCCCACTGAACTGGGCTGCTGTGTCGGTGTCCCTTAAAATGGCACTTACTTGGAAGCTGCAGCTAGAAATAAGTAAGGTCAGAGGACACAGGGCTGCCAGGCTCCGAGGTGCTCATCCGTCAGTGTCTCTGGTCTTTTCGGCACCACCGCGGACAGTGACCAGCTCTGCAGCTGAGGCGCTCCTGACCCAGGAGAGGGCAAAGTCAGACTCGGCCCAGGCGCGCATTCTCGGGACGAGGCGGGCTGTGGCCGGAGAGCTGCTCCCAGTGCAGGGAAGACAGAGGGATGTTTTCTAAATGTTTCCATAGAGACATTTAAAATCTGAACTATACTTTCCCTGTAGCACCATTTCAAATTTTTTTTCAGCATCAATTTTATCTTTTTGGAAGTTTAAGTATCAAAATATGTAAGTGCTAACTCTTTAAATCAGAATAACTTTGACTTCCTTAATGAGGCCAGTGCCAAAATGCCAATTCGAGGTTAAAGGCCTTGCTGCCAGATTGGCAAGTTTTATGGAACAGAGAGAGCAAACAGCAAGAAAAACAAGTTTGACTTCAAGTCCCAGTTTTATTTGTGAGACAGAATTTTATTTCACTCAAAATTAATAAAAACCTACCAAATACAAGTGCGGCATTCATAAGTCACAAAAATCTCTGGATCAAAATGGAAAACAAGCCGAGCTACCGCAGGCCCTGGGCGGGCAGCTTGGTCGGTGTGTTGCTCCCAAACATGAAGGTTGCGTGTTCGATCTGGTCGGGGCTCCCACAAGAAGCAACCAGTGAGTGCACAAGTGAGTGGGATGCACTCAGCAAATCGATGTGTCTCTCCCTCTCTCATCAATAAAAAACTTAAGTTCCCTGTCAGATGTTGTATAGTCAAATTGCTTCTATTTGTTCTTATTCATCATACTCTTGTTGAGTATTCAGAGTTCCCAAGTAATTCTGAATTTACGGTCTCTTTCCTTCCTATTGGCGCCAAAACTGCCATCTGGTGGAGGTGAAGAGGAAATACACAGCCCAGATGTCATCACTCAGCCTGGGAATCTCCACCACCTTGGAGTCCATGCCCCACAGTACAAAGGAGAAAATGATAAATGCCTTAAGAGATGTGCTGCTGAGTCACAGGCCCTACAGTATCCCATACTCCCCACCTTGTTCCACATTGGAGAGGGTGTTGCTACCCTTTGGGGATTGTAAGGTGAAATCGACATTGTCCTTTAGAGTCACCTGAGCAAGGTCTATTTTCCACACCTATTGTTAATAATAGTGATGCGTTAACTTCTTGGCCTCTGGCTGTATGACCCAATTTCATTTGTTTGGGAGGATAACCTGGAACTTGACTCAGGGGGTCTCCTTTCTGTTTATCCCGTGGTTGGTGCTGGCTAAATGGGTGTCCTGAAACGACCACACTCATGGCCTTGAGGTAGGGACCAATGAGATAGTTGTAGGTTAGGATCTTACCTTGTGGCTTTGGCAAAGTTCAAAAAGACAGGGTCATTTCCTTTTTGTTCCTTCTGGTATTTCTAACCCCTCACAGTTTCTAACATAAGTTATAAAATGCAAGCAAAACTGATTTGCCAATCAGGAATTCCTTCTGTGATGCCTGTTGTCCTCTGTTCAGTGTGTATTTGGGAATTATATTTGAGGTTAGAAAGGTAACTTTTGATTTAAGACTTGACAGTATCTTCTTAAATGTCAAGGAGCTACGACTAACTCCTTGAACTTCCTTCTTTCTCAAATTCTTCTCTGAATTGTTTCTTTGGGATGAATGAGTCATTATTTTAGTGGTGATGAAATGTTTGCTGCCAGACATCTGTGTGTATCTGGATGCAGAGGAATCTTTTTCTGAATCAGTTTAACAGTGGATCCTAGTGGATAAGTAAATCTTGTTTTCATTTAAAAGGAAGCCACTTTCTCTACCATTACAGACTAGTTTCACTGCCTTCTTCTACCTAAACCTTTTTTGTTTTTCTAAACTTTTTGTTTTAGTACGTTTTAGAGGAGGCTAAAGCAAAAGGGATTATACTATTATACATTGAAATGTAATTACATTACTTTGTTCATTGTATTCTACATTTGTTTCAGGTTTAATTCATTCAAAAGGATTAATATACGGCATCATTTGGTAAGTTTGTGTTTTGCTTTGCTGGCATTATTAGATTATGATGTATAACTTAAAATGTCGTTTTTTGGGAACTGGAGAAATACTGGCAGGTGTCATTGACCTTGGTACACCATGGTTCCCAGTTTCATAGTGTCAAGACTTGTGCTTCATTTAAAAACTTAGCCTAGTTCTTGGCATATAATGATTTTATACATGTTAACTACTATTGTGCTAATAGTTCCCTTCCAGAGCTTAGATGTCTTTATCACATTGCAAGGAAAATAATTCTTATTCATATTTGTATCTCTCTGCTATAGACTGAATGTGTCATCCCCAAATTCATGTTGAAATCTCTCCCCCTTGTGATGGTAATCGGAGGCCCCGGGTTGGGGGAGGGCGGCTATGGGAGGTGCACGGGTCGGGAGAGTGGAGCTCTCAGGAATGGTGACAGTGTGCTTCCTAAAGAGACTCCAGGGAGCTTCCTCATCTCTCCGGCCTTGTGCAGGTGGACACAGTGAGAAGGTGGCCATCTATGAATGGGGCAATGAGCCCTCAGCAGACACTGAATCTGCAGGTGCTTTTATTTTGGACTTTTCAGACTCTAGAACTGTGAGACATACATGTTTAGTTGTGTAAGCCACCCAGTCTATGGTATTTTATAGCAGAATGAATAGACTAAGACACCCTTAAAGAGCCTGAAAAGAACCTTGCATATAAACAGGTTACTCCGTTACAGTACTTACTGTATGCCAGGTGCTATCCTAAGTACTTGATATGTATTAGCTCATTTGAGTCTATATGCAATGCTGAAACCTCAGAACCAAAAGTGTGTGGTAAGCACATTTGGTGACAAAATATGACTTGAAGCTCTTTGTGTTTTTATCCTAACTAGTGTGAATATTTATGTTTTGGTGCAGAAGTGTTAAAGCATTTGATTAGAGTGTACTGGCTCAGACTCGCCTTGGGGTGTGTCATATAGTGTGTGATATGTACTTTATCTTTCCAAAGTCTAGGAGATTTTCTGAATTTTGAAACACATCTGGAACCAAGGCTTTTTGATGAAGGCATTATGGCCTTACTCCTATTTAGTGGATTAGACATGGAGGAACAGAGGCTAAATAATATGCTCTAATGCCACACAGCAAATAAATAGGAGGTAAAATTTGAATCCAGGTGATCTGGCTCCATAGACTTAACTTACTTCACCCCGCAGTCTCTGGCACAGTGTTTCTCAGTTAAGCCTGAGTGCAGCTGGGTAGATGAAGACTGGATTATTCCTACCCGTAGTTATTTTAGTCAGCTGATGTACATGGGGTGGATGAATTTCCTGGAAAAGATCTTAAAACAGTGTCAGTGATTCCTATTTAGGCATATACGCACAGACGGGAGAGAAAGACGTGACAGAGTCCAGATTCAGCGGGCTGTGGCGACCTGGGCCATGAGCCTCGTCGAGAGAAGGGAGATAAATTAGACTCTCATCAGGGCCTTAGGGCTGACGGGTTGGAGGCTCCATTGGTGGCTTTTATTAGTTCTTGAGAGGCAGAGAGGCTGTATCCCAAGCAGTCCACCCGGGACCCTCCTAATAATACAGCCAATAAAGAAAGTAGTGATGGACATAGGCCACTGAGGGCAGTACTGTAGACAGTTGTGAGAAGTGGAGAGGACATGAGACAGATTGTTGGAGAGAGGTTTTTTTGGTAAATTTGGTTTTTAACAAGTATAGTGTGGGGTGCCATGTATTGTAGTTAACTCCCGTGATAAGAAAATCCTGTGTAGCAGGCATTCATTTGGAAATAAGGGCATGGGCTTCAGCCTCTGGAGCAGTAAAGATACAGATGCAGGTTTGAATCAGCTACTTAGATGTAATAATTGTAGATGAAAAATAGATCTGCTCACAGAAGGTGAGAGAATAGAGCACAGCTAAGGATGGTTTGAGGGACTCTAAAAACTATTGACATGTGGAGGAATTTACTGACCCAGATTGAAATGACTCAAATGATGCTGGAGTAATTTGTATTTATTAAATGTTTTTTTTTTTTAATTTATTTACTTTTAAAATACATTTGTCTCTGCCTCCCCCCCACCTCTTTCCCTTGCCCCCTCCCACCTTCCCTCCCTCAGCTCTTCCCCTTTGGCTTTGTCCATGAGTCCTTGCTATATGTCCCTTGACTTTCCCCTTCCCTTCCCTTTCCCTCTCCCCCCCTTCCCTCTTGTCTCTGTTGATTTCTTTTCCTTTCAGTGTTGCTGGTCATATTTTCCTTGCTTCTTTGCCTTGTTGGTTAGGTTCCGCTTATAGGTGAGATCATATGGTATTTGTCTTTCGCCCCCTGGCTTACTTCGCTTAGCATGATGCTCTCCAGTTCCATCCATGCTGTCGCGAAGTTTAGTACTTCTTTTTTTCTTTCTGCTGCGTAGTATTCCATTGTGTATATGTACCATAATTTTTTGATCCAATCATCTACTGATGGGCATTTAGGTTGCTTCCAACACTTGGCTATTGTAAATTGTGCTGCTATGAACATTGGGGTGCATAGGTTCTTTTGTATTGGCGTTTTGGTGTTCTCAGGGTATAGTCCCAGCAGGGGAATCGCTGGATCAAAAGGCAGTTCCATTTTCAGCTTTCTGAGGAAATTCCACACTGCTTTCCATAATGGCTGCACCAGTCTGCATTCCCACCAACAGTGGACTAGGGTTCCCTTTTCTCCACAGCCTCGCCAGCACCTGTTGTTTGTGGATCTGTTTATGATGGCCATTCTGACCGGTGTGAGGTGGTACCTCATGGTGGTTTTGATCTGCATTTCTCTGATGGCTAGTGATGCAGAGCATCCTTTCAAATGCCTCTGGGCCCTCTGTATCTCCTCCTTAGAAAAGCATCTGCCCAGGTCCTTTGCCCATTTTTTGATTGGATCGTTTGTCTTCTTGGAGTAAAGCCGAGTGAGTTCTTTGTATATCTTGGAGATCAAACCTCTATCTGATGTATCATTAGCAAATATATTTTCCCATACGGTTGGCTCCCTTTTCATTTTGCTGATGTTTTCTTTAGCCATGCAGAAGCTTTTTATTTTTATGAGGTCCCACTTGTTTATTCTTTCCTTTATGTCCCTTGCTTTAGGAGACATATCAGTGAAAAAATTGCTGCGTGGTATATCTGAGAGTTTCCTGCCAATGTTCTCCTCGAGGACTTTGATGGTGTTGCGACTTATATTTAAGTCTTTTATCCATCTTGAGTTTATTTTTGTGTATGGTGTCAGCTGATGATCCAATTTCAATTTTTTGCATGTAGCCGTCCAGCTCTCCCAACACCATTTGTTGAAGAGGCTGTTATTGCTCCATTTTATGCTTCTGCCCCCTTTGTCGAATATTAGATGTCCATAGAGACCTGGGCTTATTTCTGGGCTTTCTATTCTGTTCCACTGGTCTATGGGTCTGTTCTTGTGCCAGTACCAGATTGTTTTGAGTATAGTGGCTTTGTAGTAGAGTTTGATGTCCGGTATTGTGATCCCTCCTACTTTGCGTTTCTTTCTCAAAATTGCTGCGGCTATTCGGGGTCGTTTATGGTTCCATATAAATTTTTGAAATGTCTGTTCTATTTCTGTGAAATACGTCATTGGTATCTTAATAGGGATTGCATTGAATCTATAAATTGCTTTGGGTATTATGGACATTTTGAGGATATTAATTCTTCCAATCCATGAGCACGGTATATGCTTCCATTTATTTGTGTCTTCCTTAATTTCTTTTTTCAATGTTGTATAGTTTTCTGCATACAGGTCTTTTGTGTCTTTGGTTAAATTTATCCCTAGGTATTTTATCTTTTTTCGTGCTATATCGAATGGTATATTTTTTCTGATTTCTTCTTCTTCTATTGCATTGCTGGTGTACAGAAACGCCTTTGATTTCTGAATGTTGACTTTGTATCCTGCTGTTTTGCCAAATTCACTTATTAGGTTGAGGAGTTTTTTGGTAGAGTCTACAGGGTTCTCTATGTACACTATCATGTCATCTGCAAACAATGATAGTTTTACTTCCTCCTTTCCTATTTGGATGCCTTTTATCTCTTTCTCTTGTCTGACCGCTGTGGCTAGGACTTCCAATACGATGTTGAAAAGAAGCGGTGAGAGCGGACATCCTTGTCGTGTTCCCGATCTTAGTGGGAAAGCTTTCAGTTTTTGCCCGTTGAGTATGATATTGGCTGTAGGTTTTTCATATATGGCCTTTATTACGTTGAGGAATGCCCCATTTATTCCCATTTTGCTGAGTGTTTTGATCATAAATGGGTGCTGTACCTTGTCAAATGCTTTTTCTGCATCTATTGAGATGATCATGTGGTTTTTGTCTTTTCTTTTGTTTATGTGCTGTATTACGTTTACTGATTTGCGTATATTGAACCATGCCTGCATCCCTGGGATGAATCCCACTTGATCGTGGTGGATAATTTTTTGAATGTCTTGCTGGATGCGGTTTGCCAATATTTTGTTGAGGATTTTAGCATCTATGTTCATCAGTGAAATTGGCCTGTAGTTTTCTTTCTTTGTAGGGTCTTTATCGGGTTTTGGGATCAGGGTGATGCTGGCCTCATAGAAGGAGTCTGGGAGTCTTCCCTCCTCTTGGATTTTTTGGAATAGTCTGAGAAGGACAGGGGTTAGCTCTTCCTTAAATGTTTTGTAAAATTCTCCTGGGAAACCGTCTGGCCCTGGGCTTTTGTGTGCTGGGAGTTTCTTGATGACTGCTTCAGTTTCCCCAGCTGTTATCGGTCTGTTCAAGTTTTCTGTTTCTTCCTCCTTCAGTGTTGGAAGATTATACTTTTCTAAAAATTTGTCCATTTCATCAAGATTTTCAAGTTTCTTGGCATATAATTGTTCATAATACTTTCTGATGATCATTTATATTTCTGTGGTATCAGTTGTTATTTCTCCTCTTTCATTTCTGATATTATTAATTTGGGTCCTCTCCCTTTTGTTCTTGATGAGTCTGCTTAAAGGCTTGTCCACTTTATGAATCTTTTCAAAGAACCAGCTTCT